TTTTTAATAAATATAAATAAATCTTAATTATTAAATAATTAAAATTTTATATAAATTTAATTTATAAAATTTTTATATAAATAAATCCGTATTTATTTGTTTTAGTAAGAGAACTCTAGCTTATGCAGGCTAGCTCTTTTTTATTTAAAAAAAAAAAAAAGAATGCAGGCTTAACAGAATAACAGGAAAAAGTATAAATTACTTAGGTTGTTCATTGTAAAATTATTGCTTTGGAATTTGGACAGAGTCACGTAGCCAGCTATTGGGGAATGAAATGAATAGTATTGTGCCGAACACTCAAGTTGGAAATTGGGGCTTGAACTGTAATTCTTAGATTTTTTAGTTGTTTTCAATATGAATGAAATCTTGCCTCAAGCCAGACTCAGCCCGAAGGAATCATGGCTAGCTCTTTCCTCTCTCACCGAGGGCCGAGGCCCATGCTCTCTCAAGTTTTGCCATTAACCTTATTAATTTTGAGGGGAATTTATTTTACAAAAATTTTAGGGGAAAATTCGGCTTTGATAACCCCAGAGATGTAGTTTTAAGGACATGCTAGTGTTCTCAGCATTGTATATATGGTCAATGTAATGGTAAAAGGCTCAAAGTTGCCTCTCTCTCTCCCTCTCTCTCTCTCTTTTTTGGGTGGGGGGTGGCTTTGGGATTTCTACCCTTAAAACTCATTTTTCTGCCAAAATGAACTACTAACTGTACAACTTGAGGCCAAACTTTAACAAAATGCCAGATACCTATTAAGTTTCTATTTAGATTGTGACTCTAGAAAAACAAAGAAAAAAGTTCAAGGACAGTAACATGAAAAAAAAAATGTTCGAGAACAATTTTAAGTGTTTTTGCCAAAGGTAATATGTTAGCCAACTAATATAATTTTCTTAGAACACAGGCCAAGGGGGATAATGGTGGCCAAATCCAGAAATTAAAAATCCACCTATGATTGGACATATTACTTGCGAACTGGAACTAATTTTGAAGTTGAGCTCAGAGCATGTATAATGTTTCCGTTATTTTCTTTAAAACTAAAATAAAAACAGAGTTTTTCTGCGTTGGAATATTTTGCAAAACACAACTTTGTTCTTGACGCTGCTTGGTCAAATTTTTTTGAGCCTAAAAGGAGCCAAAATAATATTCTGGTCCCTTCTAACCGAAAGCACATGTTAAACCGGTAGGAAGCACATGTAAACCTGTAGGAGGCATATCAAAGGCATGTCAGCATATGCCTGTCAGTTTCTTACCAAATCGTTGGATTCAATTCCGACAACTTGGGTCCTTTCTCTTTTTTATTAAAATTTTATTAATTTAATATTTTTATTTAAATATATAAAACAAGAATAATATAAAACATTAATTGTGTAATTTTTAAAATATTTTGATTAGAAAAATACTTTAAAACAAAAGTACTCTATTAAGTACTTTATTTTTTTTGAATATTTTATCATGAGGTCGACTCGAACCGTTGCTCTGTGGGAGAAGGACATGAACTTTACAAGCGTGATCAGAGCCATTTGGCCTGAAGAGCCAAGTTCCTATTAAGTACTTTATTTAAAAATTAAATATATAATAATTAATAGTATAATATAAAAATAATTTTTTTTATTATTTACATCATACCAGCTCTAAGATCCTAGTGGATTAAAAAAAAAACAAATCCGAATTGGGCACCAACGCTGACACGGATGCAGTTGAGCTTGTCTTCTTACCGTGAATATGAAGATTCCCAAATCTTAGCAGCATCGCACAACATTCTCTTGGATAAAGATGTCTTACCAATTGAAGAGAAAAAGAAAAAGGACAAAACATGTTATAAAATTAATGGTTCCGATTTTTTTACCATTGGTCCAACCATGTTTCAATTCTACCAAAATGTCCAGCGCGTGATTAATTATCTTAACATAATTAAATAATGAGTAAATATGAGATTTAGTTTTTAATTTTTATTATAAATATTAGATGAAATTATTTAACTTGTGCCCTATAAGGGTATAGATATACAAGGCAGAGCTCAGTGCTAACCTAGAAACTCCCAGTTGGATGGATCCCATCAAAACTTACCTATGAGATGGAACTCTCCCAATAGACAAACAAGAGGAGATAAAGCTGCAGAGAAAGGCATCCCAGTACACTCTGGTTGATGATGTCTTATATAAGAGGTCATACTCATTACCTTTCCTCCGATGCTTGATGCCATATGAAGTTGAATATGCATTGAGAGAAGTGCACGAAGGGGTATGTGGAAGCCATGTGGGAGCTCGGACTTTGGCCTATAAGGTACTTCGACAGAGGTACTATTGGCCTAACATGCAGCATGATGCAAAGCAGTTCGTGTAGAAGTGCCAGAAGTATCAGTTCTTTGCTCATCTTACCCATCAGCCAGCTGAAGAGCTCACCAACATGGTCACACCTTGGCCTTTTACCCAATGGGGAATAGATCTTCTGGGCCCTTTTGTCAAAAGAGTGGGGGAAGTAACACATTTAGTTGTTGTCGTTGATTACTTTATCAAGTAGGTAAAAGCTTGGCCTCTCTCCTATTTGACTTCGAAAAGGATTGAGGTTTTTTTTTCAACTCGATCATTTGCAGATACGGGATACCAAACCAGATCATTGCTGATAATGGTCTTCAATTCAATTGCAACTCCTTTAAAGACTTCTGCTCCAATTACGGGATTAAGCTAGTGTTCACTTCAGTTTACCATCCCAAGGCCAATGGAATGGTTGAATCAGTTAACAAAGCCATCTTGGAAGGAATCAACCCGAGGTTGGATAAGCTGAAAGCAAAATGGGTAGACAAGCTCAACAACGTCCTATAGGCCTACCGAACTACGAGCCGAACTACCACAAGTACGCCCTTGATTTTAATTTCCTCTTTTACTATTTTACCAAAGTCATAAATCACTTCGTAAAGCAAATCCTAAAATCATAGTCTCCTTTAAATAGGAGAAATGCCTTACCATTTGGCCTTCGGCATTGAGACAGTTATCCTTGTTGAAATTGGTGTTTCAAGCTTAAGGGTTAGCCATTTTGATCTAGCTCAAAATGAGCAACTACTTAGAGAAAACCTTGATTTCTTAGACGAAGTTCGCGAGCAATGTCGACTTCGAATGCTTGCATACAAGCAGAAGGTAGCTAGCTTTTACAATAAGCGGGTTCGACCTCGAAGCTTCAGAATCGGTGACCTAGTTCTCAGAAAGGCCAGGTTCCTAGGGTTCGAGACCCACTTCAGCAAGCTGGCACCGAACTGGGAAGGCCCATATCCTGTGATCAAAATCCCACACCTTGGTACCTACATTCTCCAAGATTCTGAGGGCAAGAGAGTGCCCAAAGTCTGGAATGTTAACAACCTCAAGAAATTCTACCCTTGAAAGTTTCCCGTTTCACTACTTGTATTATACATCCTTCGTTTGTAACATTTGATGTTCTAATAAAGTTAAAGGCAAAGTCAATTTCAATACTCCCACCTCAATATAATTAGAAAGTTTCATTTTGTTCATTTAGCCCTTCCCAATTCAAATCACTCCAAAAACATAATCAACACATTAAAGTACCAAATTGAATTTATTAACTAAAACTTTAATTGTTTACAAACAAATCATTTTTACAAACAAATCACTCCAAAAACATAATCAACACATTAAAGTACCGAATGTGATTTTTGTCACATCCACATCAGGATACTACAACTTCACCTTCTTCCGCAGTCGAAGAAGGCTACAATTGCTATTAGGAGCTGGTTGAGACTGGCAAAATCCTCGAAAGTGCTGGACTTCAAAAACTTTGCCACATGCTCTTCAACAGAGTTGTGAACTTTGAGCTCCAGTTCAGCTGCCGCCCTCATCACCTTGTCTAACTCTTTTTCCTTCTTCTTGAGCTCGTCTTCGTAGATTTTCCTTTTTTCATATGAGAGCTCCAAGTCTCTCCTCAAGGTG